TCTTTCTCTCTCTCTCTCTCTCTCTCTCTCTCTCTCTCTCTCTCTCGCTTTTTTTTCATCATGATTCAGCACAAATTGGCGCGTCGTTTCGGCCTGTACCTGCGAGAAAAGCGTTTATCTACCGGTTGCGACGAGAATTGTAGGATCGAGCGGAGTGCGCCATGCCACACGTTCGCCATGCCTCTCGTCCGGAAATAAAACAATGCACGGCGAACGAGTGTCGAAGTGGCGCGGCGGCCAGACTGCCGGCAACAAGAGACACGGGCGCCGTGATTGTGCGTGTATCATTTATTGTTGTCGCGACACAATAATTCTATTCCGCCGGAGCGTCCCGATTAATCATCGGTGGGCTGCGCGATCACTCGGCGCTGTTTCGAATCTATTTCCGCCATTCGGTCCGCCAAAAGTGACAGAGCGATGATAGGTACGATTTCGCGTTGCGACGTCGCTGAATAGAATCAGATCAAGGCATTTGATTAATTTTGCCGCACCCTTTTGCCGCTCCCTCTGTATACCGGTGACTCGATCACCGGGAAATCTTGTGGACGATAAATCGAGACTGTGCGCGATGTGACATATCCCATATAAAGTATTCCATTGCTATATCGCAAGCGATTTTTGAAAGACATAATCAGAGATCGACGGCTCGTTAAAGTGTAGTCGAAGTAGGGATATGTACACGCATTTGTCGCGCTTTCAACTACTATTAACAGGATATTTACCGATCTGTAATTACCATTCGGAGCGATTCAAGGGATGATATGGTCTGCAATTTCATTCTCACTGTCTGCTCTTGATGGTACTACACGTGTGTGTGCGAGCACTCGACCGGGACCCGGGCTAGCTTTCCTTGCTGAATTCAATTTCCCCGAGTCCACAGCGGTGGATCGCAGGTGCGTCGAGTTACTTCGATCGGTAGAGATTGCATGTTAGCGGGCGGAAAGAAAGTCACCGTAGTTTCTGACTCTTGACGTATTGCGAGTATCGCGAAGGTTTGCTTTCCGCATTTAAAAACATATATTTTTAAGTTCCGTTACTCTTTCACGTAATAATACATATCGTTTTTTTTAGCGTAAATTCATGAGTGCGCAAAAAAAAAAAAAAAAAAACAAGATAAATCGATGCATATAACATTTATAAAATATATCTTAACAATCTGCGTTTCTCGTGACATAATTTATCTTCATTCGCGACAGTATTATTTATATTCGTTCGGGACGCAGTTGTGCAATATTCTGGAAAAAGGATTCCAGAGTTTTTGGAGTGCAGAGTGCTCGCTGGGTGATGAGTATGCCGCGGTATTGTCAAGGCGAGCTAAAATTGTCCTGCAGTCTCGCAGTTCGCAGTCCTGAGCTAAACACAGACGATGGAAGGCGTATCGATTTACCAATTGTGTCGACGACCGCGGAGTAATCGTGATGGAGTCAATAATCCATGATCCGCTCAGCTTGGGAACAGCTCTATTCCGACGTGTAATTGGGATCAGTGCTTATCTGTTGGCGCACACCGTGTTCCAGCCTCGATTTCTCCTCGCCGTTCCTCCCCTCGCGCGTACCCCTCACCTTCTTCCGACACACCACCTTCTTCACGCGGTACGTGTGTACCGTGGCAATATTTGCTCGGGGAATTAAAGCATCGCAAACCAATCCTTGTTGTTATGATCTGCCCTGATTGATTTCCATCATTTAGTATACGTAATCAAAAAAACGGCTAAATCACATCGTTAGGCCTTTCCCCCCCTTTTTCTTTTTTCATGCACGTCGCTTCTGCCTCGAGACCGACGCGACCGGCGCGCATGAGTTGTCTTGTCCGTGATACGTGACGTAAATAGCTTTGTTTAAATAATTCCCGTCGCCACACGGAAGGGATAGAACTGGTAACGGTGCAGAACGCAAGAGATGCAGCACGTTTCAGACAGGACGAAGCGATGTTCTCGGCAACGACGAACGCCGGCGTAATGATATTCAGAACTTCCAGGGGGGGGGGGGGGCACGTGGCGCGCTGTCGTGAGGAACGTGAACATTTCGGGATGGATACGGAGACATATTTCAGCGTACACGTGCCAGCGTTGCTCGCGCCCGCACACACGCGGCACACAGGCTGCTTTGTGCGCGCGCGCGCGTGTGTGTATATATGTGTGTGATGTGTCGCGCGAAACCAAACTGTTTCGCGTCAGTAAATTCTCGGCAACATGCCGATACAGCGAAACGCCGGAAATGAGTTACTTAAACTACGTGTGCGGTGTCACGCGTCATCCGCTCGGATTCTCAGATTTCTCCGGAAGGAGAGATCTTTGGTATCTGTTAGAAATTCGATGTTCTTCTACGAGTTTCGTCAAGTAGTCATCCATCTCAGGGTGTCGTGTCGGATTTTGTATCTCATGTTTCGTGTACCGTATCGGAGGCGTTTCGTGTACCGTGCGTCCGCCGTATCGCTTTGTGCGAACAATTTAATAAATTGTTGATTTAAATTTATTTATTTTTAATAATACAATGTTGTATTTGATATGTAAATTGATATTTAATATGTAAATTTATTTCATTATCTTCCTTGAGATTACGCCAATCGCAATTAATCCCATCGCAATTAATCACGCGATAGAAAATTTAGCAATATGATCCTTTTCAACGAAAGTTTGCTAACGCAGAATCCGATGTCGAGTTTCTACTGTGCCGGAGACAGGTGGGTTTCATTTCGCTTGGCACTGGGAATTTAATTAAAGATTAATTTAAGTTTTAATTATACGTTTTAATTATTACGTTTTTGGATACTAATAGTCGTGTCGATGATAAATTTTAGCGTTGCCGATCGCGATAATCTTGCGCTATCCTTCTATACGCTTTAATAGCGTTCGAGCGTGGTTAGACGATATAACGAAATGTTGTTAATGGGTCACTTAGCATTTAACGTCGCCCTGTTTCAGAGGGACCGAGCTTCAGCGCACCAATAACAAACGTGACGGTCCCAGTGGGAAGAGAAGCTATCCTCTCCTGCGTCGTGGCGAACCTTTCTACATACAAGGTAAGCTGCCAAGCACACGACACCTTTTAATCTTGCACCGCGTCGATTCCGCTACGCTTTACCTAAACGGAGGACTCGTGGAAATGACGCCGAAAATACTCGTTGGCACAGAAACGTCGTGCAAATGATTTCGACACGAGATATTTATATGCGAATACTCGAATACGTTTCATCCGGAATAATTTGCATAACAAACTTGCAAAAGAAGCTTTGACAAATCCCGAGCTCGAGAAAGATTTGCAGTCGGACCGAAATGAAACGGACGGACGGTTTCTAATGCAATGTGGAGTTCCCGCGGAGTTCATAGAGATAAAAAATGGAAAATCGTTATGGACTGATAAACAAAGTTTAATTTAGCTGCCAGTTATAACGAGCATAGCCCGCAGACTTCATTGCCGCGAACGTATTCCTCGGCACGCTGCAGAAACGTGGACGTGCACGAATGGATTCCACGGCGTGACAAACATCGTTTCACTGTGAGTCCGCAAAGTCTGATGAATTAAAGTTCATTCATCACGTGGTAAAAATTTATCCTTGTTGCGCATCGCTATCTTTTTGCTGTATTGTATGATGCAACTTTATGGACAGAGAAACGTGCGTAAAAATGATTGATTGATGCAACTTGTGGAGTTGGGAAGATTTTTTTGTATCATATTTATTTGATTATATATTAAATTTTCTTTTTAATTTTTTTATTCCGTTGAAGAAACATCCTAATAAAACGCGTGTATTTTTGGTGCAACAAATAATAACGTCGAATGAAATCTCTTGCGAAGAGAGCACTTTGTGTATTCCAAAATATCATTGGAGTATTTTTATCTATATATATATATATATATATATTATTTGCATGCCGCTATCGTTAGTTTTGTCTTTTCTGAAAGAATATTGCCAGAATTCCATTCTTACTTAGAACTTTTGGGGAAACGTCAAATAATGCGAGTTTCACCATTACGTGAAAAACATTCACCGAATTCCTGCGATGTTCACATTCTCAAGGCGCTACGAATTCCCGCCGGTGGATCACATATTTCGCGATCCAGCGGCGCAGTTTTGGAAAACCTCTGCTTTCAGTGTGGCGAGAGTATTGCGTTCTGCGAGGTGATACGAGCATGATATTAAACGCGAGCAAAATGCACGCTACGTATGTACGATATTATACAAGTATTCGGTCCAACCATTTTGTTGCACGGTTGCATGGTCAAATCGCGTGATCTGTGCATAGCTCGCGCGAATTTTAACATTGTTCTTTACATTCTCGAACAGGTCGGAATTGATTTTGCATTTTTTGCTAGAACGAGACGGAAGATAACGGAAACAAAATCGAGGGCGCTTAAATATTCGCTTAAAACAAAAAATATTTGGACAACCGTTTGTTTGACAGACTTAGAACGGATTTAGTTTAAGTACGTCAGATTAAGCCAGAATATTGCGCAATTACGGCTCGCAGAGGATGAAAAGCGTTCATATCGCGCTCGCGCGCTTCCTTCGTAGCTTAACCTAACACCATAACGTCTGGAATAGCGTTTTAATCTTAAAATATATTATTCGGAAATTAAAGGGACCCGACGAGGCGAGCCACCGCTATGCGGTAAGGAGAGCTTGAAGATCGTAGGGAGGAAGCTCGCTGTAATTATGCGTGATTGTGCTGCAATTAGCGGAAGCGGTATTATTATATTTTATCCGTTATATAAAATTCAAAAGAAAAAGTCTAAGTGGGTATAATACGGAATATGCGGATTACATAATAAGGATATATTATAAATAATGCATGACGTTATTAATGAATATACTTGCCGACTTTGCAACAGATTATTTTAAATACGAATGCAGCATGATATACATTTTTTCCACGGTTCTAAATATACGGAAAATATCTATCTACGCCACGGAATGCACGAACGGAATGCAACTTCCGTTGTGTGTTTAAAGCTGAAGTAACTCCGTGTCAAAGATACAATTAAAATGTTCTCGTTCTCGTACGGAGACGACGCATCCCGAGTTTAATCGTCATATTCCCACAAGACTGCCTGTAACTTACGTTAGCAAGTAAGTCTATTCTTGGACTATAATTCGACTTCAACACAGTGGAGTCTTAAACGTGTAGCCTGCTGAAGATTTGCGGCGTCTTAAACGACACTAAGCGACGAAAGTTTACTGCATGGCAGCGAGCTCCGCCTTCTCGTTCCATCATGCGTCGCCAAGAGCAAAACGGAATCGGCCAGCATTTTCTACGGGGGCGTTTGAAATGAAAGGCGCAGCTCATTCGACAGCAGAAAAGCAGAATTTATTTAGAAAAATGTGCACGGTATTTTCTCGACCGAATGGAATCATCGATTGATCTCTTTTTGCACCTCGCGCAACAAAAGCGCGCGCAAACTCGTTGCACTAGCGATTCTTTCAAACGAGCTACTGCAACTACCCGCTAAATGATCTCGCGTCGAAAACGAAGAAATTACTGCCCGAGATTCCGACGGAGTAGTGGAAGAATGATAAAAAGTTTGGGTTATACGATTACGAGATTGAGATCAAATTTCGATCTCGTTTTCGGCGAGCCAAGTGACGCTAATGCTACAACCTTAACGTTTACTTTAATGATATATCGTCAGAAAGTCAAAGGAGCCACCTGCCCGCTTACCGACAACAGCCGTGTGACGTAAGAATAATTTATTCTAATATGTCAAGACAGCGCCACGTCACGTAATACCCTAATGTAATTTTGCGTCACGTATTATGTTGGCCGGCTAAATTTCGTCGCAAACAAGTTCGCTCGCGCGCGGGAGGCTTGTCCGCATCACGAGGCAGTTATGAGTAAGTGGCGAGCAGAAGGGGGGCGGGCACGGAGGTCGGACCCTGGTGTGTGATGTAGGGCTCTCTCTGCGTGTTGGTACACGTGAATGTTAATCAGAATGGGATTTACATATGAGGCTCGTATTACCTGGTAGTCGGGGCAGATGCACCGGGAGGAGAAGATAACGGTCTCCAGAGAGAATGGAGGAGACGGAGAGAGAG